CGGGATTCAGGTTCATCATGGTAGTGAGCTGGAATCCTCCGGAGTCCTCCGAGTGATTGGAGAGCTGACCAGTTCTTTCCCTTCCACACTATGTCAGGGCGCCCAGCAAGAGAGCTCTGTTGAGACAACTGGCTGGGTAATATCTAGATACTCTTTTCTTTCCTGATCTGTAGTACCCGTAGGTACAATCCTCAGTCCAGTTTTAATCTGACATTCCTTGTATCCCCTTGTCCCAAGAGAGCCATATCTCATTTCCAGATAATCTCCTACAGGACTCTTCACTGGCCCTCTCTCCCCTACTTTTCTTCTTAATAAACTCAGTTGATGTCCAGCTGATTAGTTGGAGACTCACTTTCCTGAAAGGGCTTTTAATTCTCTTTTTAAACATTTTAAAAGTTGGTTTTTTTCCCTTATAAACTTAATTCATGTTTTAGTGAGATAAAAGCCCCAGGGCATCTTCCAAAAAAATCCCAAATTTGGGAATTCTTCTTAATATTGAGTTGAGAGTTCTTTATGTATTCTAGATACAAGTCTATTATCAGATATATGCATTGTGAATATTTTCTCTTAGTTTCTAGCTTGCCTTTTCATTTTCTTAATGGTGTTTTTTGAAGAGAAGTTTTACATTTTGGTGAAGACCAATTTAACCATTTTTTTTCTTTAATGGTTAGTGCTTTTTGGACCTAAGAAATATTTGCCTACTCCAAGATAGCAAAGGTTTTTCTCCTGTGTTTTCTTTTAGAAGTTTTATGTTTTAGTTTCTGTGCTTAAGTCTGTGATCCATTGTGTGTTTTTATGTGTGGGGTAAGGTATAGGAGTCCAGGGCTATTGATTTTTTTTCCCATATAGATACCTAGTTGTTCTAGCCCAAACTTGAAAACCTTTTCTTTCCCCATTGAATTACCTTGGAGACTTTTTAAACAAAATAAGTCAACCATGTATGTTTAGATATCTATTTCTATGCTCCTCTCTCTGTTTAGTTTCATTGATCTGTATGTCTATATACCAATACCACACTATCATGATGACTATAGCTTTATAGTAAGTCATGAAATCAAGTACTTAGTAAGTCTTGAAACTTTGTTCTTTTTCAAAATTCTGTTGGTCATTTTGTGTACTTAGAAACAACTCATCAAATCCCTACAAAAAATGCCTTCTAGAATTTTGATTCAGTTTGCAATTGAATCTAGAAATCGATTTGGCAGGAATTGACATCATATTGATACTGAATCTTCCAATCTATGAACATGCTGTACTTCTCCAATTTGGGGGATCTCCTTTAATTTTTCACAGCATGGTTTTGTAGTATCAGTATATAGGACTTGTACATATTTTGTTGAATTTTTTTCCCAAGTATTTCATGTTGTTGTGATTGTAAATAGTATTTTTTTAATTCCATCATCCGGTTCCTCATTGTAAATATATAGAAGTACAGTTGATTTTTGTATATTGACCATGTATCTGGCAATCTTGATAAACTCACTTCTTAGTTTTGGGTAGATTCTTTTAAGATTTCCTAGGCAAACTATCATGTAATTTTCAGATAAAGGCCCTTTTATGTATTCCTTTCCAGTTCCTGTGCCTTTTGTTTCTTTTTATAAACTTATTGCATTGGCTAGGACCTCTAGTACTGTGCTGAATAGAAGTGACAGTTAGCCATTCTTGCCTTGTTCTTGATCTTAGAGAGAAAAGTGTCTTTCACCACTATGATGTTAGCTATAGGTTTTTCATAGATACCCTTTATCAGATTGAGAAAGTTGCTTTCTCTTCCACCTTTGCTGATGTTTTTCATAATTGAATTTGTGAAATGCTTTTTCTGCACTTGCTGTAATATATGATTTTTAACCTTTATTCTGTTGAAATGACAAATTACTTTTATTTTCAGATGCTGAAAAGCTTGGATCCTTGAGATAAACCTCTTGGTTACAATGCATTATGGTTTTTGTATATTGCCTGATTTGCTTGGCTAATACTTTAGATCTGATTCTGCCACTAGATTAACCAGGTGGGCCAATAGGCTGCACCATCCATATCAGATATTTGAAACAAGTCAAATACCTGGGAAACAAGTATTCCAGGCCTAGGACTGCTCCCACCTCAGGGACCAAGACTTCTAGCTCACTGCTCTGCCAACCCAAGGGCATGGCTGTAGTTATTCTCATGGTCGAGGGGGACTGCATCCACATTCCAGCAGCAGCTGAGAGGAGGAAGGGAGCAAGAAGAGGTGCAGCGGAGTGCATGACAGCCAGTTTCTGAGGAAGATGGCCAGAGCTGCCATGAGAGACTTCTACATATACACTCCACTGACTAGGACTTAGTCATGTGGTCAAAGGCAAGGGTTTGGGGTCAAGATTTGCAGAGACTAAAGAGTCATTTTCTGTCTTTAGGAAAATCTAATCGTTTTTCATTTAAAGGTTTTATTTTTTTGGAAGTTCCTGAAACAAAGTTATTTGCAACATGTGTTTTCATGAGTTTTCTGGAGTTGTAAAGTCATGTTAACAAAGACAGTGGAGAAGAAAAGTGTGGGTGTAAGTAGTTGTGTTCTCAATGCCTGTATCCCTAGGACCTGTCCTGGCACACAACATATGACAGTAAATGTCAATAACTGTCTCCTGACTGTGTATATCACATAAATGCTTCCTTGTTGGAATCTCTATGCCAAGAAGTAGATACAGAAAAGGTGAATAAGGATATGTTCCAGACTGTCAAAGTGGTAAGATCCAGGATTGTATTAGATACTGGTTTACTGCCTAAAATTATGGAAGGTGTGCTAGAGTGAGTCTGTGCCTGGGGTGCATGGATATATAAAAAATGGGAGTAGGGATTAGGGATCTGGAACAGTGGTGCTTCATTTGAGAGAGCAAAGGGCAGGGACATGGGAAATAGGCTTCACTCACTAGTTTTATTACACTTTTCCAGGTATTAAAGTCTTACTTGCACCAAATTGAGACTTTCCTTGTAGCAGTCAGAAAGAATGGGAAAAGATTTAAAAGATGGTAGCTTCTTCATCATGTGATTCAGTGTTCTTTAATCCCATGCCAGGTACCAACTAAGATCTCATGGGCCATCTCATCTCCCTTAGGAAATATGGGTAGAAGGAAGATGTTAGACTGGGGAGATCTGGGTTCTAGTTTTGGTTCTGTCACTGTGGGACCTTAGAAGTCAGTCAGCCTCATGTTTCCTTTTCTGGGGTTTCTTTCTTCCACGGACTGTCATGGAGCTGACTCTTGAAAGATACACTGTAAGCATCTATGACCAGCATGCTTGAGTTACATGGCTCATCTAAACACTAGACACAAAGTGGCTTTGGACATAAGCTCTGGGTGCCGTAAACAGGGGCCCTAGCTGGGTGTGGCAGTGTGGAGGGAAGCACATGTCACTGGAACAAATGCCACCGTTTAAACTGGGGGAGGTGGGGTGGGAATGCATGATTGCCAGAGGCCTGAGCCATGAGAAATTAGAGCCTTGGAGGCCTAGGTAGATAAACTCAGGTGTCTGCCTACTCTGGTAGAGTTGGGGCGTGTCCCTGCCAGGTGAAATGTGACAACCCAAGCAATTCCTGAGTTCTGGGGCAGGAGGTTCAGTGAGCTGTGCTGGTTCTTGTGAGGATTCCAAGTGGCCCCCATAGCCCCCACTGTCTCTGAGACGGTGGAGTATTCCTAGGTGCTGGATGAAAATTGCCATCCTGCAAAGGCCTGGTGGTTGGCTGTCACGAGCTCTATAAGTTACTGGCTCCCTACCTTCATAGTGCCAATGACTGAACAAGGGTGCAGAGAACCCCCTGACATGCAAATTGTTTCCACATTATTTAGAGTTTTCCATCCAGATGTTTTTTTTTTCTCCCTGTGCCCCCCTCCTGCTAGCTGTCTTTTTGTCCCTAGGGCATTTCAAAACAGCAGGAAGAACCCACTGAGAAAACATAAGCACCAAGTTCTAACAGCTCCTTCCTCACCATTCTCTCTCCCCCACTGCACACAATATAAAAATAGAACTGGTTATATTTTTCATGGGGCTGACGTTGGTTTGCTATGTGTGTGAGTATTTGTTTTGGTTTTGTTTCTGTCACACCATTTTCAGAGGCTCTGTGGTCATAGGTACCTAGTGCCAGCACTTTGCCTGATGCTGGGCTGGGGAGGGGCCTGTTCCTGGAGTGCACAAGAAGGGCTGAAGGGGCAGGTGAACTTCGGGATATAAAGGGGAGTCATGGTAGTTTGTTCTCTGCAAACGTGCTGGAGGTTCCCTCCCGCTCCTGTTACCCATATGGGGGACTCCAAAGAACTTCACCAGGGAAGGAAAAGAGGTCCCAGACGGACCGAAAGCCCAGAACCTAAAGCTTGCTTAATTGATGGGGAGCAGGGTAGGAACAGTCCTCACAATTTGCCTCTCCAGTCCTGTGGTCCGTGGTGTGGTCCTGAGCCTCCCCGGCTGGGAGAGCCACCCCTGCCCCCGCAGTAAGGGGCCGCCCCGGGGCAGGCCTTCGGGGAAAAGGCGCAGGACTGAAGGACGCATGGGGAAGCACCCTTGAGCTGCGCCACGTCCTGCGCTGGATGTGTTCTGTCATCTCATTCTCATAACAACCCTGTAGCTCGGGCATTGGCTCCCTGCTGTTGTGCAGGTGAAGACCCTGAGACGGAAGGGTAAACAGCATCAGCACAAGCAGCAGAGCCTGATTCAAGCACTGGGCTGTCTCATTTCCCAGCCTGGGATTCTTCCTTGTCGGGAGAGAGAAGTCCCAGGGGCTCAGCCGAGTAAAAGTGCCTCACATTCACAAGACAGAGCCAGAGACAGTCACTTCTCAGTCCCCGTCTAAAGATGGTTCTGCGGCAGCAGTTGAAAAGCTGTGTTCATGAAGGGCTTTTTTAAAACCTGCCAGTCAGCTTCCAACTGACCTTGGGACTCTGAGCCTCATGCTGGACACCCAATCCTCTTTAGATGCCTTGGTTCAAGATGCCTTGGTTCAACCAGGTTTAATATATTCCACTTCTTTCCCCACTGTACAGATGGATGTGTCCGTAGAAACTCTCTTTAGCTTCATGCAAGAGCGCCAGAAGAGGTACGCCAAATACGCAGAGCAGATCCAGAAAGTCAATGAAATGTCTGCCATCCTGCGCCGCATCCAGATGGGCATCGACCAGACTGTGCCCCTGATGGAGCGGCTCAACAGCCTGCTGCCCGAAGGCGAGAGGCTGGAGCCCTTCAGCATGAAACCGGAGCGCGAGCTCAGGCCGTAGCGCCGCCGTGCCATGGGGACAGAGCCCGGCTCCACCCAAACGCCGAGGACACTGGGCACCGAAGCCACAGGCTCAGTGACCAGGGCTGGCAGCTGGCTGGGGGTCTGGTGCGCCCTGAAGGCGACCCGACGCGGTGCAGCTGGCCTGAACTGAGGCTGTGCCCCTCTCCTCCATGCCTTTCCTATGCAAAGAACCAAACTAATTCTCAGAGACAACCGAGGAGGGAGCTCTCAATTTATTAGGAATTCATGACAGAAGTTCTGCATTGGAATTATTTTTATCTTGTTTAGATTTTTTTTTAAATTGAGAATATGTATTGTCTAGGCTAGCTTGGGAGTGAAAATAGGGAAAGAAGGGGAGAAACATTTTAAGAAGCTCTGTGTCCTTCATGAAATTTAATGCACTAGGCTCTTCAGGTTATGAGTTGTGAACATAAAGGACTGATTTAACCAGGTCTGTGCGTTGTTACTGTTCCCACCCTGTTTACATCGTGTCACATCTTTATCTGGGACCCCCTCCTCCTGCCCTGGTGAAATGCTGGCGCTCTGTCACATGCCAGCTCACAGAGGTCTCATGCATCGTCATTGGAAACTGAAGGTCTTCTGCACCCTCGTCGGGATCATCTGCTGATAACTGCTTTCCTTGACGCGGACACAGTTCGGGTTTCTTGTCATTACGTCAACACTGGCAAGACTCCTTTTGTAACAAGGTTTTAACCAGTGTTTGTTTTACTAGCCTGGCAAGTGTGGGGTGGGTCAGGCTTTGACAGCAGGCCACAGAGAGCACCCATTCAGCAGGCATTTGTCCAGCCCCTTTGATGTGCCAAACATTGTGCTGAGGATACAAAAATGGCTGTGTAGTCCCTGCCCTTCTCTGGCGAGAACAGACTCACAATGCTGCTGCACTTCTGCGGGAGTTTAGGAAAGGAGGCAGTTTGAGTAGCCACAGAAGTACTCAGTGCAGTACTTTGCACGTCGTGAATGGCCCCGGGGACGAAAAGCAAGGCAGTGGGAAGTAGGACCAGAGCTACGCGGGCAAGTGGAGGTCACGAGCTGGGATAAAGGGAAGGCACTGGGGCTCGGGTCTCCCTAGTGCCCTTGTTTCCACCAAACTTCAGGGGGTGTTTTTAAATGTCAAAAACAGCCTTCAGTATATTTGTAAGGTTAAAATTTATCCCACTTTATTTAGCATATATCAGGTAAACTATCTGATTCTAATCTTGGATTTTAATCAGATGCTATTCTGTAAGGTTCTTAGAACCCAGAATAAAATGTAGGGCCTAAAACACTGGATGACAGAACACATATGAACATTCTACGCTATGTGGGGAAAAAGTTTTTTGAATTCAGACATAGGAAAGAAACAGCTTCTAGGATTTTTTAAGGACCGAAAACATTAAGAGCATTCATTCCCTCTGAGCTGGAAAGAGAAGTTGGAACCAAGAGACGGTCAAGGCAGCACCCACCTTTTTCAGAGGGTGACCTTCCACGCCCATTTCTGCCTTCCCAGGAGCTGATGTCTTTCCTTCCCCATTAGGAAAGCAGGGTAGAGACACCCAGCAGGAGGAGATGACGTGGTCTGAGGAAGCCTGGGGAATTGGAAGTCAGGAGCTGGCAGTGGGAGCTACTCCTTTAACCTTCCCTGGGCCACATGGTTGGTGAAAGAAGGTTGTGTTCATGATGCCTTTTGATGGCAGGATCCTACTGGGGCCTTAATCCATTTCAAGAGCAATTCATTAGAGGGTATAAAATAAGAAAGATGCTTTGTAACTTTAGAAAGAAACCTATTAAGTACCTAAGGATATTCTAGGAAATGTCATGCAAGGGAGGGTCGAACATTCATCAAGTGATGAATCTGCCCTCCGTAGATGCACAATACCTCTTCTGTCATGTACTTAATTTCCATATAATTGAGAAGCTGGTTCTGGGTGATATTCTAATCCATTAGTCTTTCTCTTCATATGCTGTTTTTCATTTTTCATACTGTTTTAATATTACAACTTCACAATACATTTTAATATCTGATATGGCTGGACAAGGTCCCACCTACCCTCATGACCAGTTTTTCCTAACTTTTAAAAAAATTTCAGATGAGAAGAAAAGCTGAAAAAAATAACACAAGGAATACTCACATTCCCTTCACCTAGAAGAACAAGAAGTGGCATTTTTAAGCCACAACCATCATTGTCTTTGGAGTTCATGGGGTGTCCAGAACTGAGCTCTGAACACAGGGACATGCTCATAGCTTCAAAGAAGGAAAGGCTGGTTGTCTACAGAGCTACAAAAATAGCTCAGGGATCAGGCACCATCACCCTCACTGCACTCGATACAATTGGCAAATAAAAGCACAGAACAAATAAAACGAGATGCAGACAAAGCCTGAGGACGGAGCTTTCTTGCTATTTCAGTTTAATGACAATGAACAAGGCAGAAAAGCATGAAAACCCCCTCAGCCAGCCAGCTTCTCCTCCAACTGTCTTCTTATAAAGAAGCTAGACAAAACATGGAATTAACTTAGATCTGGGTCCTAGGTAGATAGGCTGCTTATTACTAGATCAAAGCCGAGAAGAACGGGCAAACATATCTTCCGAAATAACTCAGTATCTGTGGTGTGTGCTGGTGGTGCGGGGTTGTCCACTTGGCCAAGCTCAACTGTGTCTCCCAGAATTCCCTTCCCTGCTCCTTCTGGTTAGGGTTGGCTGCAGAGAAGTTTGCATGACATTTGGAAGTGCAAGTAAAGCAATAGCCATGCTTATTCCCTGAAAGTCGCCCTGGGTCGGGCCTTGTCGCAGCTCTTGCACGTTTTCCCAGGCCACACATTTAGTGTGGCCGGGCCCCCGGCTCCCACAGCCACACAGCACTCTGCCCCACAGCTCTTCAAAGTCAAGGGCCAGGTCTGATACCAGCTGCTCCTCCATATCATCTGCAGCCGGGAGGATGGAGGTTTAGAGAAGAGGAGAGGCCAGCATGGCCTCTGGTGGGAGGCAGAGGTGGGTTCCAGCCAGTGTACGGGCCTCAGTTGACCCGGGAAGAAACCACTGGGCGGGGACTCACCGCAGCTCCTGCTGCTCCTTGCTTAAGGTCAGTCCCTTTAACAGACCCCTTATTCTACATCTTTCCTGCTGGTTCTCCTCTCATTGAACCCTGACTACTAACATGGCATTACCTATCCTTTCCTTCCTGAGTATCTTTAAGTTTTCTGATGGATTCAGGGAATCTTGAGTTGTGCTATTTAAGCGACAGTTACGCTGGATCTCTGTTGATTGGCACCCGATGACCTTTCTGACACTACGGGATTCTTCAGGGATGCAGAGGCAGCCTGGGGTCGTCAAAGAGCCCAGGCTGGAAGTTTCCGGCCTTGGTCTTTGGCAGATCCTTCATCTCTCTGAGCTTCAGTTTCCACTTCCCTACACTGTGAGAGGGTCTGGGTGGGCACTCAAGCCCCTTCCAGCTCGAAGATTCCAAGTCTGTGATTGCGATTCTTCACTCTTTAGCAACAGTGAGGAGTGTCTTTACCTGTTGCCTCTGAGCATTGACCCTAGGTTTTGGTAGTAACTTTAAATTCTGAGCTCCCAAGGGAGAGAGCTGCTTTCCTTCTTACTGCTAATGATATAACAGGCAAGTGTCCAGTGGCTTCCTTATTTGAAAGATCTGTTTTGCTTATCTGCCAGTCTACTCATCTATGTTTATGAACACTGCTAAATATGCCCTATTCTGCAGTCTTCATGTTTCTCTAGTTGAAGTGAAAGGTCGGTTGGACCCCTTGTATTCTCTGCATATAAATGTACAATAAATTGTAAATGAATTGTGGGGTTAAGAGCTTGTGATAGTGCAGGTTTCACGGGAACCTTTACCATCATTTTCCAGATTTCATGTCTTTGTTTCCTTCAAAGTTTTATCCTTAGGAAGTTCATTTATATCCTCTGCACTAAGGAAATATTTGGTGAAATGGGTTTTGAGGACTGTATACCCTGAGATAAAGGGGTGCACTCAAGAAAGGTTTTCCGTTGTTGTTTTGGTACAAGTATTCTCTAGGTATGTCCTTTTTCCTCTGACATATGAGAAAGGTACATCATATAGCTATTACAAACATGCCATTCCCAAGGTTACTAACGGCCCTGGGGGAACTGCCATGTGCCACTTTGGTTCTCTGTGCTGACTTGTAGTACTTACTTAACTTTGGCATTTCCTTTAGTAAGTCCCAAAGCAAAGCCAGGAATCTTCATAAATGAGAGCTGTGAGCAAATGTTAGAATTCTAGAGTGGTTGAAAATTTTGTCCCCGATTTATCAGCTAAACCCAGATATATAGTACTCAGTAGGAAATTACTTAGTTTAGTTGATACTTAAGATTGAAGGGTAGAGTAAAATGAAATTTTTTCTTGCACTTCTTATGTTTCAGATTTTTCTGACTCACAAGAGAATTTTGCTTTCCTTTCCCCTGCTCTGACTTTTGTTCCTCTAAGAGCTATTTGGTGCCCCACAGATGCCGCTGTTCGGTAGTTTATACTAACGTTGAATTGTGTGTACACACAAGGCATGTACTGTCCATTCAATGTCACAACCACAGAGAGGAAGGTGACCAGATAACTATTCACATGCTTCAAGCCAAAAACTCAGTAGTTTTTTGGCAACTTAGTTCTAGCCCGGTCTAGCCCGAATCTCCTGGGTGTGCTGGTGTGTGTGTGTATCCATTACGCTGAGGAGCTTGTTTGGGGTCTTCAGTGTCAATACAGACCTGGTGGGACTTACTGATGATGCAGTTTGTCTTCATCAGTCAAGGCATACCCTACTGCTACCTTTTATTCTAGAGTGAGGCATGACTGATGCTAAAAACTTTCGTGAACCAAGTACTTTTAATTAAATTTCTGGGACAGTCACAATTCCCCCAACTACAGCTGAACTAACCTTCTCCCAGCTAGCATGCCAGCCTAAGACACTGCTGCTCCCACAAGGTCAGTGTGCACTTCCTGTGGGACTGCATGTCTGACTGACTCTAGGGTTTCAGCTAGAACCAAAGGAATGAAACTTCTGTTTTTACATAAACCCAGTTTGATGTCTGTGCACATAAACGGCAACGATGATTGACTTGTAAACATCTTCCATGATGGCACTGTAATTTTCCAGTTGATTTTGCAACATTTTCAAGCTATAACCAAATATAATTATGCTGTATAAGGATGAATGGGTCCCACAGAATGCTAGAAATAACTTTCTGCCCTCTTCCATTTATAGCTGCAGAAGAGTAATATTCAGAGGAAAGCACCTAGACAAATTGTTTACTCGACCTAAAACATTTCTGCTTAATGTCAGAGAAACCAAACCAGACAGAAGTATTTAAAATAAAATGACGGTGAAGGTTTTGAGGGTCAAAAGGTTTTGTCAACCAGGCCATCTGTAAACCCTACTCTTCCCATCTACACCTTCCTTATGTCCCTGTAGCCCAAGGCCGGGTCTCACCGTCCTCAGACCCAATCCCTGTAGCCCAAGGCCGGGTCTCACCGTCCTCAGACCCAAACCAGCCCTCCAGCGCCAGCCTGCGGAGGCTGTTTTCTGAGGGCCCCAAATCTGTCTGTGTTTAAGTAGGAACCGGCTTGCCCTGCAGGCCTTCCCCAGACCCGCGCCTTCTCGCCCAATCCTCTCCTCGCAGCGCCTCCTCCCCCAGCCCCCGCCCACCTCCAGGGGCAGGTTCATCCCGCGCTCCCTTGAACCCTTTACTCTTGTGTCCCGTGTCCACCTCCGTTTTTTGCAAGGTCTTGGCCAAGGCAGCTCTTCTGGTGGTTGCTCATCCAGTCCAATCCTTCTTGCTTTTAAATTTTCTTAAATTTAACTTGAACACAGAAGCCTTTCACAACCAATTTAAATGACATCACCTATGATTCTCCTTCTCATTATTATTCCATCTGCACTGAAGGTAAATTCTTTACTGCATGATTCTTTATTGACAAGCTCATGAGACAGCTTCTAGTCTCAAATCATCACGTCCAGTGTCATTTATAAGCAGGGAGGACATGAAGATGAAATGGCAGAGATGGGGAACAGGTCTTCTAGTCTCCTCAGTTTCTTCTACAAGAATTATTATAAACCTCTTACACATTACATTAAAATGTACCATGACTTGTATCAGGTCTCTTCTCCTCCTACCCTGTACTTATTCTTGCCTCAGTCAGCAGATATTTGCAAGCACCCGCGGTGTCTACACTGAAGTGTGCAGCTGGCAGACATATTAAGGAGCAAAGGCTAACACTCAACTGTCAACGATCCAGTGCTTCTGTGAATGACAGAGCACAAAATAAATCTGATGGCCTCACCACTTAATTCTGAGCTAAGTCCTCTAGGACGTGAGACGAGCAGGATACGTTCAACTACCGCCTCCTTTGGCTACCTGGACATTGCTGGTCCCCCAGGTTTATCGCTGCAAACAGAAGTCCTTTCTCATATTTATGTATAAACAGGTACCAGTTTTATTATCATATTAACATACAGGACACATCAAAATGAGAAATGCACAATTTAACCATTCAACAGCTTGCCTTACTCCACAAGAGCACTATATTCATATTAAACATTTACACAGTCTTTCCACCTAACTTTACAATTTCCTAAACCATTCTCCAGCATTTCTCACCTAGCAGTTTAGTTTTGCTCTTTAAAATCACCATTCTGTATCATCGCAGCGGACCGCAGGGCTCCCCCTGGGCCACATGCCGAGGAGGGCCATCCGCCGCCCCATCCGCCAGTGCCCAGGCAGCTCCAGGCCCGCCTCGGCAGCTGCGACCTCTGCAGGCTCCTCAGGATTCCAAGCACTGATTATTGGACATTAGCGATCAAGCACTGAAGGTTGTAGTGAATGACTACGTCACAGTCAAAAGAAGGAAGGGGACCATGGGCCAAGAGAAACCCCAAATGGCGGAAGGCAGATTTCTGCCCAGAGATCTCCTTAAAACCAAGGCCCCAACCTCCTGAAACATACAGAGCCCTGGAGCCCCTGCTCTCATTTTGTAAGTTAGACAGTTGGGACCAGACTCTGGAAGCAGGAGCTGTTACCCATTGGGTGTGTGTACACTTAACACCTCACAAACTGCTGTGAAACCTTAATGTCGGATTACATCCAAAATTTAAGTCTATATAGAAAAACTAAGATCAGTTAAGAGAACTTTTTCAATATGGTAACAGTGCACTCCCTCCGTGGTTTACACTAACCTGCCTTCATTTTACACCCATATCACAGCACATCATTTGTGCACAGCCAGTCATGTTATGTGAAGCTCATACTTGTCATGAGCGAGTCGGTCTTGAGTCATGCCCTTCTATGCTGGTTTCAGCAGTCACCATAGGAAATACTAAGTCACATCCCAGTCAAAGGACGGTCCACTTCTCAAACACAGAAAAACCTGAGATATGAGTCAGCATCTAGCTACATGTAAAGAACAACGACAACCCCCCACCCAACCCCGTAAAAGGCTGCTGACGTGAATTAAGGCTTCCAAAGAGGACCACCCTGAGCTGACAGAACTCCAGCCCGGGACGTGAAACCAGATCTGTCCTGTCCGCGTGGGCTGCTCTAACTATTTCCTATTTTCAGCTGCCGGGACAACTCCACACAGTTATTGCAGGTCAGGGGCTGAGAGACCACCACGGTCCCCGCCGTTCTGGTCTGTCCCTTCTACTAAGAAAATCAATGCTGGGGATGCTTTCTGAGGCCAGCCTGGCTGTGGCTTTTCACGCTGCTCACAACGGAACAGCACTCAACCACCTTCTTCCCGCCTTCCTATACTGTTTTATTCTAAACATTCCTTGCTTACTAGCCTCTCAGCCCTCTTAGTAAATCTGAAAGTCTAAGGGAATTAGAGAAATACCACCCTCACCGCACACCAGGAGGAAAAAAGCCACTGAGGAAATAAGAGTTTCTGCTTCTCCTCTGTGGTTTTACCTCCTTCAGTCTCTTCAGTTTCTCCCCCTTTGGTTCTCCCTTTAAAAGTCTACCTTATAGTTACATTTTTACAAAATGTATCTGTGCAATGAAGCCAAGATGGAAAACATCTACTTTGGCAGAGAACTTGAAGGTGCTGCTGCTCTACCAACCCAAATAAATCCACATCTGGCTTTAAACCAAGTCAATCTTTATTTAAAGGATTAACAATCCCATTCCAAACAATTGTTTGATTTATAAAGCGGGAGGTAGATTTGTTTAGCCTCCCAACCTTAGCTTAAATCATTATTAGCTGCCAGATTCCTGGCTGTTAAATGGAATCCTAGATGGTTTCCCCTCTTTCTTCATCCAGCTGAGAAGAAAAAAGGAAAAGTTAATAACCTCCATCCAGGCCCAGTGGGAAATTGGTGCATGGACACAGACAGTCTGAACTGGTCTGAGAAGTATGACTAGCTACCTACCTACTCACAACGCCTAGAATGTGGGCTCCCGGCCGGGGCAGTGGAGAAAGCCCCCGCCTGCTGTCTGAGGTACTGGTTTGCTCTAAAGTAGATCTTGGCAAGGCCCCTAATGGTCTGTCCAGCAGAATGATGCTCGCATCACTCGGCTGCCAGGTAAGCTTGGATTTGTGAATCAGCTTTGGAAGTGATCATTTCTCTTGGATTGACCATTAGGTTCTGTCCCCAATAGGGTCTCCCCACCCGACCCACCTGGCTCAGTCTCAGCGCTAAGGTGCACTGTGGAAGGGCTGGACAGACTCGTACTGGAGATTTCTTGGTAGCACATGGAAATGGCAGGGTATCTTGTCCTCTCATACCCGATAAAACTTGACTTAGTAAAAACAGGACCTGCAGTTCACTGCCCGGAACTGTGTCCTCTGTCTCAGGGAAACCAAGCATCTGCCCTTCCACTTCTGTTGACACACGTTAACTCATCTCTCAAATGCAGATGTTGAGAGAACTGTGTTGACACCATAGCTCTGTTTTCCAAAAATATATATGTATGTACATATATATATTTCAGATTTACAGGGAATATTTTTTGTGAACAAGAAGAAAACTGTCACCAGAAGTCACAAGTGTCTTTCTTCTCAGGAGACCTCAATGATTTCCATGCTGCCTGAAAAGCTAGACTGGCTGCCCACTTTCCCCAGTTCTTCCCGTGACCTGTTCTCTGACATGATGCTCTCTCCAAATTCCATCTGGCAGCTTCTGCGTTTAAACTGCTTTTCAAAGGGGCTCTCTTCATGCCAGCTGCGCCGGGAGTCGGCTCTGTCCCTGGGCTTCTGCCGCCTGCGCACAGAATACGCTTGGTCGCTGCAGGTGGGCAGCTGGCTGCAGCTGTAGGCAGAGTAGCCGGCGCTGCCCCCGTAGATGGCCGAGGCAGAGTAGAAGTGAGAAGGCTCCGTGGCAAAATACCAACTACTGGTCAGGGAAGGGGTGGAGGTCTGGGGAGCCAAGATATCTGAATGCCAGCCCTTGAGGCCCAGGCCGGCAGCAGACTTGGCCAGGTGCTGCTGGCTGGTGGAGAGGCCGAAGAGGAAGTTGGTGTGGTAGTTGTCCTCCACGCTCCCGCTCCGATGCAGCGGCGCTAAGAGGGACCGCGGGGTGGCTCCGCTGCTGCTGGTCCTCACGGGATGGCATCGCTTGCTCTGGCCATCTGAAGGCCTGGTGGTCGGGGGCTTCTTGGGCATGCTGGCTTCCTCCTTATCTGGGCTGCTCTCTGGGGTCTGCTCTGAGACTTCCTCCACGGGAGAGAACTGGCAGGGCTTGCTGGTCCCGTCCAGAGTCGAGGAAGGTCTGTAGTGCTCCAGGGCATCTTCTGATGCGGAGAGACCATGCACGGACGCCGCCACACTGGCTGAGCACGAAACGGATTTGATGTCCAGAGAGAAGGAACGCTTGAGCTTAGTGCTGTCTTGCAGCCTGTCCGCAGACACGTGGAGCCCATTGAGTGCCTGCTCCAGCGGGCTGTCCCCCGGCAGCGGGGGCTGCACACCAGGCATGCCGGCAGGATGTGCCGGCCTTTGCCCTGCCGCCTCTGAGGTAGGAGACTTGGCACAGGGTGGACTGAGGGGCGTCTCGCTTTTCTGTCCACCCTCCGAGGCCGCGGGGACAGGGGCGTTCGGCTTCTCCAGGTGCAGCAGCTTGAGTTTGCTCTTTGGCCCTGAAGATCCAGTCTGGTTCTTAATCTTCTTCTCATAGTCCAGGAGTTGGCCCAGAAAATTGAAGTTTGGAGATATAGTAGGTCTTTTTTCTTTCACAAATCTATGCAGAGAGGAAAACCAGACAAACCTTGAATTTTACAACTACACTTAAGAATATTACTAAGCTAGAATATTAAAGGAATCAGTGAGACAGGAAATTGTCAGACCCTCCCCCTCCCAAATCCCTATGTAAGGTGACTGGTTTAACAGTTCAGCAGCTAAGAGATGATTCTCTCCTCACCACCAGGGACACCCCCACCCCTCCCTATGCTACTGTGACATGTACAGGGGGCAGCCACTCTCCAGCTTCAGGTTCCCGATATCACACCTTCTCGAAGCCCCCAGTCACTTCCTCAAGACATTTCACATTTTAAATTAATGACCAAAATGGAGGACATCAGATGGCCAGAGCATCAAAGCACACACGTCCGAGTTCCTTCTCTTTGTATTCAATGTGGCAGAATAGTCAGCTACGAGGTGGCGCTACACTGATGCGCTGAACAGGGTACTACCTCGGTCAGGCCTCCAAGCCCCTCTATGTCAGGTGGGTATAATTACCCCATCTTAGAGGCACACAAAGTCCTCACCTGACTTACCCAAAATCACACAGCCACTGAATGATGCTGCTGGGATTCAAAACCACGTCTAAACGTCTGGGTCCATTTTTGTAACCACAGGATCCATCAAGTGATCAAAACTAATACTAAGTAGCTTTTATGTTTCATTGCCAAACAAGGACTCTTAGAGATTGGAGATAATTCTTTAATGGCCTGACCCTTATGGATATTTCTCAGAAGATGCAGGAGTCAAATTACACTGAAATCTGTATTTCAGTAAGGAAAGGGAAAAATGAGAAACTCCTTGGTTATCAAGTAACCTATAGCAAATTAACAAAGCCAGAGAAACTGGCTCAACTCCTAAGTGTAAACGTAGGGTCCTCATCATCAGGCTGGTTTATACGAGGTGCAGGGGGACTCTTGGAGAGAGGAGCATGAGTGGGGGGCCAGGGGACCTGATGCAGGCAAGCAGGGCCCACCTTCCCCCAGCTCGAAGCTGTTCAGGCAGATCATTCTTTTTTCCAAATTTTCCAATTTGAGAAACAGTCCAATTGTTACAACAGGCCTGCTCCATATCCCATGAAAGCTCATCACCTCTATGCAACACTCAGGACCACTCAGATTCGCCAGTCACTCAGACAGACCCCAGTCCGGGGGCTGCTGCCCCCTCCTGTTTTGAAGAGCAGGGGAGGCGGGGACAACCCAGTCAAACTGATAACCCTGCAAAATTTGGGCAACTCTAGAGTGTAGGAAACTTTACTCAGTGACTGGGGTTTGACAATTCCTTGGTTGTACACTTGCGTTGATTAGGTTTTTCCTCACGGTGAAAGAGGCACCAAGTTTGAGGCCGAGTAGGAACTCCTCCTTCATCAGTTTTGTCCTGGAACTGTTTTCATCATACGTGAATCAGAACACACGATACTTCTCCAGTTAAGGAAAGAAACTCACATGACAGGACAGAGATCTCTGTTTGGATTTGTTGTTCCTTCAACTTAAAAAGTTGGCGAGGATGAATCAGACACATGTTAGAATAGGATTAATGCTAACTTATGAAATACAAAAATGTATTCTTCTCCAGTCTTCGAAAAAACATTTAAAAATCCAGTCACCAGTAGAGTCTCACTGAAAGAATCATAATCTGCTTTAATTCGGTTACCCACCCTCACAGCTCTTCATGTTTCAGGTCAAATGAAAAGCCAGTCACACAAGACAGGCAGGTTCTGTCCTCACCTGTAAGCTTCATCCAGGGACATATCCATCCTCTTCATGATGTAGGCGATAGCGATGGTGGCCGAGCGAGAGATCCCGGCCAGGCAGTGCACCAGGACACACCCGTTGGAGGCCTTTGCTTTCTCTGCGTGAGGCAAAGTCAGCAAGAGTGACTAACGACAACTTTGCTCAGCAGTGAAATCTTGTTTCCACTTACTTAGTAACGTCTTTCATCTAACAACTCAGAGCAAATCTCTCTGATTTACATATTTTTCCTTTCAACATTCTTTTAAGGAGGTAGGAGAGGAAAATTTCCTCATTATTTACGTAGAGGACAATGAAGGCCCAAGTATGTTAAGAAGCAATTTGTTCCTAACACAAGTGGCCTCTTACTCAGTACTTTTCACTATGTATTTTTTACATTATGTATTATTTTAATAATTATCCCTGAGTATAAATCTTACATTGTGATTCCAGTTCTATTTATTCAGTGTAGACAATTTCAGAAATACAAAATAATATGAAGATAATAACATTCAATATCCCAAGATTTTAGCTAATGTTGTCTGCCACCTCAACTCTTCTGTTATGTAAGAGATACCAAGTTTTTTCTAGTTTTGAGATATAAATGACACATATTATGTATTAGGTATACAAGATAAAACATTAAAATTTCACATATATTTTCATTGCAGACAAATGTGACATACATAACTAGCTTGAGAAGCAGGCAAGTGGGACAGGGAATCACAGTATCACATCACAACATATAAAGATGCCAGGTCAGGCTACTTTTCAAATGCTGATGCATAGAACCAATCTTCCTGTAGTTCCCCTACTTTTCTTTAGGAGGCTTTTCTGTGTGTCATAATGTGGCTCCATTTTACGTGCTGAGTTTATCCATGTATACACTGTGAATCAGGCTTAGCAGGTCACTTTCATGAGGGCCAAGGGCACTTTTATCCCTCCCCTGCTGTCCAGGAGTGACTGTCTGACAGCACCCTCTTAGTTCCCTGCAACATGGTTGCAGGACCATGGACACTGAATTCCCATGGTCCTCAGTTCCAACCAGCAGTGCCGCCATCTCTCACTGTGAGGTGCTGATCAAGTCATCCCACACAGCATGGAAGCAGCTGACTTTTTAGTCAATACTGTGTCTGCTTGGATTCTAAGCCATTAATGTGCTTATTCTTGAGCTGTTGCCACAGAGCTAAATCCTTCCCTTTTCACTCTGTTTTAGTTGTTACTACCATAAATTTGCCAGACCTTATATTAAAATTCCTGTAATTAACAGATACCCAGGGACTCTGCTCTGGCAGCTGAATAATGCAAGGCTATTCCACCACCTCTTTTATAAATATTACAAATTTCTAATGTATGTGATTTATTATTCATTATGTACAAAACACCACAGGGCTTCTGGATAGTATATGAATGAGCAAGCAGCTTCCCTTTAGACAGGGAAATCAAACACAGTAAAACAGTAACACACACAAAGCAACAGTGAAACAGAGAAATAAGCACTGAACAATGTAATATATAAACCTATCTATGTGAAGACCATGCCTTCCTGGGCCCACACATTTCTCTTCCTTCCCACAGCTGTACCACTGTTAGTATTTCCCCTTATGCCTTGGCTACTAAGAAGCTCAAAGCTAATGTTTTCATTCAGTTTCAGTAGGTATCTGTAATTCAGACTTACTGTGCCTTCCCTAGTCCCATATTATTTGGTTCTTGCCCTTTTATCCCACTTTGGTGTGTATGTGTGTGAATGGGTATATATTTTTTATCCCAATCTCTTACTGTGAGGTGCTTCAAATTCTTATTGCAAATAGGCTGGGTTCAATTTTTTTTTAAAATTCTGACAAGTCTTACTATTTTTAATAATTGTCTCAAAACTAGACTATAAGAATCTAGAAGGGTCTTGCTCCCAACATTGTCCCAAAGGGTTTAACAGTGGGCACACAGTATGCATCCAGTGAACACTGTCCAGCTAATTGATATGTATTTTAAAAAACAATCTTTATAAAAAATTTGGAAAAGGATGGAAAGGAATGAAACAGTGATAACACATGTGTTAGGATGGTGAGGTTATAGGTTTCCTTTTCTCTGTTTTTCAAGTTTTCTGCACTGTATTTACGCTGTTTTTACAATTACAGCTCTTTTGATGATATATTTAAAATACCTAATTAAAAAGTGATTATACTGGAGTGGGGTTCGTTAGAGCACATTTCTTGGCAGAAGCAAGTGCTAAACTGAGTCTTACAGCCAAGGAGTAATACGTATAGAGCCGGCAGAAGGGAGAAGGGAGCCATGTGCGAGGAAGGCCAGTGGTGGGACTGAACCTGCTCAGAGGACGGTCGGCCTTGCCCGCTGCTCCCGTGCCTCGTGGGAGGAAGTAACGAGAGAGAAGGCCTCGGGGGTGGGGAGCAGGGCTTGTGAGGCTAAGGGCTGGTGGGCAATTTCAGAGCTGCTGCAGGCTCCTGTCTAGGGGACAAAAGAAAGGCTGGTTGCCAGTAACTGCAATTCAGGGACAAAGTCCAGGTCAAAAGGGAGAAGGAATAACAGACGAAAAGGGAAAGGGGGGGAGCCAGTGAGGATGAGAAGTTACAAAGGCTTAAAAGAAAGAAGTAATGACTGAGGTTACAGAGTATGGCTGTAAGGAATGAAAAGAACTTCTCTGATAATTTTTAAAACAGCTGTTTATTAAGAGCCAATTATGAGTTACTTTGCAAGGTATTCTACATATGTTATCTACCTTAATCTTTACAATACCCCATATGGTAGATAGAGTATCTTTAGTTTCCAGCTCAGAAACTAAGAACAGAGAAGTTTTAAATGACTTATTCAAATTCACTCAACTAATAATCCAGCGAGACAGGACTTCAAAACAGTCTGGCTCCAAAGTACATGATCTTAACTGCTTCCCTGTATTGCCTCCATGCAAGCTCATGAGACTGGTGTGAGTGAGGTGGGACAGGAGCCAAGGAGACGCAGGAGGGGACAAGAGCCCCTGTACGCAGCCAGCCGGGGCTGGGGGCACCTCATGAGTGTCCCGAAGGACAAACAGGCAACCAAGCTTACTGTTGCCTACATTAACTAGAAATACACTCCATGACAACCTGAGTTCTTCCAACAAACCCAGAAATGACTGAAAATTAATTTAAATAATAAAAAGAAAAGGTACCTACAAGCCTGTAAGTTATTAAGTCTGGTATAAAGGGGTATGCCTTCAAATTATATACTCTGCCATGCTGTGAATTAAAAGTGGCAGGACAGACCTAGTGTCTCCCGTGAAAGAAGAAAATCAGTGGGAGGCAAAGTCACCCATATTCTCTCTCTTTTACTAACCTTCCTAATGCTTAGACATTGTTGTGACTTAACAGAATCAGGTTCTCTTCTAATAGATTCTGAAATCGCACTTTTAGCTGAAGTTACAGCCAGATGTCTTCGATGGATGTGATGTGCAATGAGAACATCAATCATTATCGTTTAGAGGCAAAAAGTGGGGATATACAATACAATAGTGGGGATATAACTTGGGGGGTTTGTTTATGATTATTTTAATGTGAATTATCTAGGCCATTCATACTCAGATGTTTCTTAAAATGCATCCTAATTAAAGATGAAAACTCTTGGTAATCTGGGATCTTGAAAAAACGAGAACTATTTTGGAATTACCCAAAGTTCCAAAAGCATTACCTAGAAAATTTTTCTTGCAAGTGAGAGGATATAAAGAAGGGTTTAACTTACTTAATCTCACTTTTTAAAAGAAACTAGTTCTTTATTTTAAAAAATTTTAGTAACCAATTCGAAGTACTTATGAATTAGTGCACTCAAACCTATGTGACTAGGGGAGAAAAAACCAAAAACCCCTCACATAACCATCAAGAGTCAGCCCTGGTCTGTCAGGCATGAGCTAGCAACGTATCTCCTCTGTTCGCTCTCCACTAAAACCACCTTTAGACATGTCACCAATTTACGACCAGCAGACCTGATCCCATGGCACCAAAATGTCACAACGCCTGAAGCCAGGAGTGAGGGAGGCTCCTGGATTGACAGGCCCAGTGAGCAGAACAGAGTACAGAACAGAACAGACCCTGTCACCACAAACATCAGGGAAATGGGGCGGGGGCGGGTGTGTGTTTGGGAATTTTATTAGATCCAGTACTACTTGAAATTATTGGCACATGGTCTGAGGCTTTGAAATCTTGTGACATAAAGTCTTTAAATGTAATGGGATTTGTTCTCCCAGGATTTGACTGTTCTCTGGGGAAAATATAGCAAGGCAAAAACAGTTTAAGGAATGCCACCCAAGTTTCCCAAAGTCTTGGGATTTGAAAAAGTGGGTAACAAATTTAATCCCAAAAGTCAAACTGATTTTCAAATACCTGCCATTACATAATCACAGACCCCATCAGGCTTAACCTTAATGGTGTTCAGTTAGCTAGAATGTCACCAGGCCACGCCCTTAGGGATGGCATGGCACACATGTCACCTTGACCACTGAATCAGGTAAGTGGCATCATATGTTGATTTCAGACTTTTGAAATCTCTGAAATAGGCTCCTTTTAAGAAAAAAAGGGGTAGGGAGGGAGGGAAGGGAGAGGGTGTACACTTGACGTAAGACTGTATTCCAAAGGGCTTGTAATGGTACTTGAGCTGCTCACCAATGAAATCCACGGATTTGTCCAACCACGGCAAAATTTTCTCACAAAAACTATCATTCACAGGCACTCGGAGGAAATGTGACTCAGGGATAAAGTCAGGCTTGGGACAGGTATTGCTGGCATTCAGCACATAACCAATCCCATTCTGTTGCATCAGCTCCTAGGGAGGGAAAGAGCAATTAAAGTGACTAATAACATAATAGCACAATCATTTTTAAAGAGTAAAGTTTAACATAATGATAAAACTTACTAGTTTCTTTGATATAATCAGAATTCATTCAATTGGTGAAATCCAGATGACAATTTAGAAACGTGACATTCATCATAATGATATTTTGGGGACTTAAGTTTAAAGCAGCACGTTTTTATGGGCAAAAACAGCTATTGAAAATAGTATGCTTGAAGATCACAAATAATACAGTCAACTCTCTGTTATCTTTATTACTAGAGAGAGAAGTGGAACAAAGAATAAAAAATAAAACCACAACAGTTTACTATGACTTTAGAATATATGCACACATAGCAAGAACATTTATTCCCCAACTGAACACGCTGGCTGACCTTTAAGACACAGTCCCGGGCAGTGTTCTCACCCTACTCTCTGCAAGGCCGAATCTACACTAGCTTTAATTATCAGCTCTGCATGCTGACAGCACTCCAATTTCTAGCCCCTATTTCACACTATCTATTGGATATCTCTATCTGGATGTCCTCAGGCCCTTCAAACTCAACATGTCAGAAACTCAACACATTATCTTTCTCTCTTCTTTGCCCCAAATTCCTGTTTCAGTAGTCTAGTAGTCCAAAATTGCTTTATGGAAATAACATCCAACCAGGGCCTTGAGCTAGAAAATAGGACCGTTTCATTCTGTTTCTCTTCCTCATGACGCCATCTAAGTGGTTTTCAAATCCTTTCGGTACCACCCCTCCCATTTGTCCCCTTCTCTCCAGCCCTCACCATGGTAACAAAAACCCACCAGGGAGCTCTGGCAGTCTGTGGTGTTTCTCTTTCAGTGCATACACTGAACAAAAACTAGGGTAACCTCCCTTATAATTAAAATGGGCTAAGTGCTTCATCCACACTTCTAATAATGTCACCATGNAACAAAAACCCACCAGGGAGCTCTGGCAGTCTGTGGTGTTTCTCTTTCAGTGCATACACTGAACAAAAACTAGGGTAACCTCCCTTATAATTAAAATGGGCTAAGTGCTTCATCCACACTTCTAATAATGTCACCATGTCTGTTCCTGTCCCATCCGACCTGCAGATCCCTCAACATCACGTGTACGCAGCTCCTTTTCTGTGCTGTTGTTCACACATTCCTTGCTTCACAGGCCCCGTTCCTCTCCCTGACGACTGTTCTACTTTTCCCACTTTAAGTTGACTTTACTATGAACTCCTTCCACCGATGGATGATTAACTATCCCATTCTCTGCCCTTCCAAAGGACTTTGTTTACACAAGTAGTAAAGCACCTGGCATCTGTGTTACCGAGGCGCAGATAATTCTTGTCTCTCCTAGTCAGTAGTTGAAGTAAGGAGATCCTTGGGCTGATTCTTGCTTGTCTTCCGACTTTTAGCACCAGGTACATAGTTGCACTCAGTACATGTTTGTTCAACTGACACCCTGCCGGCCATTTTCCAGGCAAGCCTGTACAACCCCACTTCCTTTAGTTCTACATGTTCTAAGCCTAAAACAATGTAGCAATTCTGGTCACTTCTTCCTTTTCCTAGAATGCTGCCACCACTACAAATCTTTCCCAAGTGCCAAGACAGTTGGTAATTTTCTTCCTGTTTCACCATTCTGAATATACCAATTCCCCGACCTCTTCATTCACTGCATTTGGCACAATAAATACATTTTACTTTCATAAAAGGTAGACTTAGTAAATCCAGATCAGGTATGCAACCCTCTCTCAACTGTGAGATGACAATGTCCAGAAACAGCCTTTGGAACTAATGGAATTTCTCTAAGTAACCAACCCTTCAGCTCTGTCACAGCCCCCATCTCTGATGGTCTCATACGCCTCTGTCCATTCACGATTAGGCTGTGAAGATCTTAATGGTGTTTACCACAACTTTTAAACTTTTGTATGTGTAGCAAAGGTCACATCTGTTTTTCTATGCTGAGATTATCTATGATCGTCTGATCAACCACAGAATCTCCCATGTAGGAACAGCAGCGGGTCACTGGAGTTAAAGGCCTTTCAAATCTTTCTCACCAATGGTCCTTAAAAAGAGGAGCCATTCTATATTTCTTCTTTCCACCAACAGTATTACTAAGATTTATTAAAAGTAAAAAGAGGTAGTAACATCACTTTCTGCCTGACTCAATAAGGAAGACATCGAAATGTCTGAGAAAAGAGGCTGACACCAGCAGGGTTATCTGCTACACACAATCAAAAGCAAACAGGTAGTTCTCACTGAGGACCCCATGTCACAAGTCACTAATGGGTGTTGAGTTCGATTTCCCTATAGAATCTAATAATGTACACTTCTGACATAGCCTAACAATCTGTATTTTGCAGAAACAAGCACTTCATCTAAATTCAATCAGAATATATTTGCTGAGCACCTTTGCTAGAGGCCTATAAATTATAGTATGATAGCACATATTAATAAAATAATACTGAAAACTCAATGAATGCCCACTGCTACATGCCAGGTACTGTACTAAGCATGCAAACGGACTGTATCATTTAATCCTCACAGCCACCTTTTGACATGTGTACTGTCATTATCCTCATTTTTTTAAAAATGAGGAAACCGAGGCTTGAAGAGGTTACATAAAGTTTGCCAAGTCACACAGCAAGTGCGTACAAAGTCAAGATTCAAATCCAGGTACATTCATCTCCAGAATCTGTCCTCTTAATTGCCATACTCTACTGAAGTTTCTTTTAAAGCAAATTAGATGGAGCAATAAAGTAACTAGACTACATAATACAAGCTCTTTTTAACTGAATGAAGTGTTAAGACTATGAAATTTTACTATCACTCTGTTTTGCTTCTTTGAGGAGGGAGTGACTCGGGATACTACATGGCTACTCGCAGACACTCACCTAAGTTGTACACCTTGCCTCCATGTCACCTCTTCCCTAACTGCTCCCTCAGTTGCAGTCAGAGGCACCCAGTGGTCTCCCTGCCATGCCCACACTGGCGTCTACTGCTGCAGGGCGAGCTGTGCCCACATGCCTGCTCACTGCCCTCACACAGATGCTGCCCCACTAAACAGCAGCAGCAAGGCCATGCGAGAAGGTGGCACTTCCGACCCAATTTAAGAAACCTCAACAATCCAAGCCTACAGAAGATCTCAAAACACTCTCACTTATAAAACAACGCACCTTAAAAGATGCATTTAAATAGTAGCTTTGTTTTAGATAACTAGCAAACAGAAGGGGAAAAAAAGTCATTAATGTATTAAAATTGAGTAATAATAAGATAATTTAAACATAAAATGAAATGAGAAAAAAAGGAATGATCTCAAAGGTGAACATAACTTGATTTATAAAAATTTTACTTAAAAAGTCTATTTATTAAATTGATTATGTAGCTGCTACCTGAGATTCTTTTTGTAATAAGATGGGACTTGATAAATAGAACATGGTCAATTTTAAAAACAAAAAGCAAGCAAAATCCTAAAATATTACTATATAAAATTTAAATATAATTGGCTACTAATTAACTATCATAAGTAAGTAATCAGGATTGGTAGTTACAACATCAGGAGAAAAAGTCAGTTAAAGGAGGAAATCATTAAAAATGATACATATATACTTAAAACATTTCATTTTAACTTAAATAAAGGTACATTAATTTGCTAATTTCCAATATAGGCCCATGGCTTTTTTTGCTAGGTTACCTGACTGGAGTTCTTAAGCAAATTCCATCCAAATGCACCTACCACTTAGAGATCCCATTTCTTTGAAGAAAAGCAAGAACTTGTGAAAACAACATCACTACAGAATCCCTCCGCATTATGACTATCCCCAAAATAATACACAGTTGCCTTATTCCCCCTCTAGTTCAGACAGAAAAAAATGTTAAGCAATTTGCCCTTCTGGAATCTTTTGAAAACATGTAACTTACTGTTTTAGGTCACAGGAAAACACTCTCCCCTCATTCATATTTCATCAGTATGTGTCCTATTTCAATTCATGTACACAACTACAATAAGTACAGTGGCTGAAAACAAACACAACTGCCTCCATCGAAGCATCCCATTCAAATGGTGGAGGCAGTCGTGCCGGAGCCCAGAGCCAACCACCAGCCGGGGGCGAGCGTGCACTTGGCGGGTGTCGGGGCAGACAGCTGGGTGAATCTCGGAGGTCAGTTCAAGTTTCTGCTCCAGGTTCAGGAAACTAAATAATAGTCTTCTGATTCTTTTTCTGACCATACACAGGCATCTATGTCAACATTTCCGACGTGGAACTGGGATGGAACGACAGTTATGAAGGATGGGTCTGTTTTATAGAATAATGATTGCTTTTATGCACAGATGGATGTCAATGACTTCTTAGTCATAAAGAGAGATTTATGTAATTTGTTCAATTTTGTTTCAGTATGTTGTGTAAAGCATACGCAACTGAATATTACTCTCTGGCATAGTTAAAAATGTTATCTTTAAAACTCCAGAGAGCAGTCATCTTACACTGTTTAGTATTTATCTCAACTTGGTGCGAAGGTCCACTGAAACATACTTTCTACTGACAAAATAATCTGTCTTCTCTGGCCTTCAAATATGCTCCCGACACCCTGGCCTCTCATGTCTGTGAACTTTTCACATGACCACTCACTCCCAGGAGACCTGGTCCAGCCTCGTCACTACCAGCAACACAGTCCCTCCTCATCCCGACCCCACAGCCCGCCCTCAGATGAGGCCACCTCTGCTTCCAGCATCCTCTTGCACCACCTCTCCTGCGCCCTTCGGCCCCCTAGGACCTACTCCTCCTGTCCTTCACCCTCACGATGTCTGCCTTCCTTGCCCAGTTAAATTCTGTCATTATAATCACTCCCTTGCCTTCACCCTCAATTCCTTCGTCCCACTACTGCTGCCCACTCACTTGGCAAGGCCACGACCTTGGGGTCAAATCGAATTCTCTGCCTCACCTGCGTCTGCACCCGGGCCACTGAACGCACCAGAGAAACACTCAGCCGTGCTCCA